AGGAGAGGTCTGCCGCGCCATGTGGATCTCCTCTGGGGCAGGCGGGGATCGAACTCATGCGGAAGTGGCTTAAGCTTCTTAGTGCAGTGCTTTAACCCACTGCGCCACAAGGGAGGGCCGCAAAAGACAACTTTTATAAGCACTTTTTATTATTAGTCATACAAATATATGCAAGCTTACTCAAAATATATCTTTATTAGGCCTCCGTGGTGGTACAGGGGATTAATTCAGCACTATGATGCTATTAGCAGTCACTGTAGCATGAGTTTGATCCTTGGACAGGGAGCTGACCCACATGGTACATCAGACCTCTCGGGTCCGCCCATGGCTCCCCGCAGCAATGTATTTCATCAGTCCACCTGTTCTGCTTCCCACTCTGTCTCTGGTGAATCCTCTCAGCCACCCCCGCACCCTGTACCCTCCCTCCAAACCTCTGCCTTACACTCTAGCTCTTGTATGCAAAAGTAAACAAATCTTAAATAAAAAAAAAGCACACATTATCTTCATCATTTTACTGCCCCTTAAATGGTACCAAATTAAAACTCAACCCTTTCAAATCTTCAGAGTAAGCTTTGTTGATTAAATTCTCTAGAATTTGTTAATGCTAAAAAAAAATTTTTTTTCAGTCTAAAATCTTGGATTCTTTTCTTGTCTGAGATTTAGGCAACAAAAATCACTGCAATTTATGAAAACAAAAACACCCAAATTGTCATGTGTATCCTTCCTCCTATTCTTCTCACCTCATTGAATGTATAACAACAACACGAGGAATAGAGCAAAGTTTAAATATATAATAAACTATGGTGGAGCACTATCCTGCACAGAGGGGAGAGCTGTGGTGACTACATCTGAGAGGCAAAATCCTATCCTCTCAAAACACTAGCAAGGATGCAAAACAATAGTACTTCAATAAAGATTATGTGTTTGTATGCAAATCTATTGTATTTCCTCACATGTTCTTTAAAAATCTCACTTACAGAAGAGTTAGGTAAATCTTATCAGACTGAATAGTTTAAACACTCTAATCACCCACTGCCTCTTCTAGTGCATGCACTCTGCAGTACCAGATGGCATAGGGAGAGGCAAGTTGTCTTTGGCTTCTGGTTTAGTACAGAAGTAAAGATAAAATACATAAAAAGTTAAACAATCTTATGTATTAGGTGAATGGGTATTAAGAAGTACAAAAATAAAGACTAGGGAAAAATAAATAGGTGGAGATGACTGGTAAGAATTTGATGCCAGAGTTGGAACCTGTACAGAGATTGCAAGATTGACAAGATTTGGACAGATGGCCTCAGGTAAAAGTGCTTGGTATACACTTTATTACCGAGGCAGGTCATCACAAATACCAGTAACCAGAACATTTATGAAAGTATGAGGATGTTTGAGTCAGTTACTCAGAAGCCTAGAATACTATAGTTCCGATTTTATTTTCAAAGATTGCCTTTTATCCCCATGGATATACTTTCTATAGCTGAAGCTCTAATTAGTCACTGTTTCCTAAAAACACTCAGTGATTGATTTCTTATTACCATTTTCATACGTGCACCTGTGTATGTATGTGTGTATTTGTGTGTGTATGTGTGTACTCTCATCTTTTCACCCATTGAAATACTATCCCTTTTTAAAAACTCAAAAAGTTCCTCTGAGAATATTAGAAATAAGCCATCATTCAGTAGCACTGGAGAACACTGAATCTCAAAGGAAATGTACTAACTACTCTAAACTGGAGAGTGGTCAGTCAAATTCAGGAGAGAGAGAGATACTGTCGTAAATGTGAGATCGGTATATGCTGTTGTCATCACTTTGATACAGAGGCAACCAGAGGGGAGGGTGGCAGGATGAGAGTGGGCAAGGGAAGGGGCCCAGTGGGCACAGTGGGGATTGCCGGAGCACTGGTTCTGGCCACGTATGAAAGTGTACAGCAGTGGAGGTTTGAATTTGTAGCCCTAGAGCAGATACAATGATGTAAGTGTATTTTACCTCAATAAGCATGACTTGGGGAAGAAAAGAGGCCAGAGATTTAGATCCTGTTTTTTTTTTTTTAATCTAAGATACTGATAACAACACTCCAATATTCAATATATTTGAAACAATTCAGGCAAGGTGTTTTTCACTAACTCCTTGATTATTCACAGCTATTTCATCTTTATTCAATCAAGAGATATT